CTGAAAGTAGTGACCCCTGAATGTAGTGACCCCTGAAAGTAGTGACCCCTGAAGGTAGTGACCCCTGAAGCCCAGAGTTCTCACTGGTTTGTCAAGCTGCAGCAGATTCTTTCATCTGCTTTGATCTTACGTCCATTAAAACCTACAACTCAAATTGATTCGTTGGACAGAAAATGAATCAGCAACTATTCTGATAAATCAGCAGATTTGTTCACAGGGTCCAGTTTCATAAACGTCACTGATTCTTTGGTTTTTCACACTTTGTCACGAACACAAACGTTTTCACTATTTTCAACACAAAACAATCAGTAGACAAATTGAGAAGATCAACAAGAGTGTTTCCATTTAAATGTGTTTAATTCAGAATTTAACCATATTACAGCAGTTCAAACGACGCTCAGTTGAGTGATGTGTTGCTGACGAGTGCCCAGAGGTTTTTGACCTGTGACCCTGTTTGGTCGTTGTCAGTTCGTTCCTTTGGAACCGAGGACCGCCCCACCGACAGGCCCATCCCTCCTCGAGATGACACTTTCGAGTACATCATCTTCAGAGGCAGCGACATCAAGGACTTGACGGTGTGCGAGCCGCCAAAACAAACCAGTTCTCTCCCTCAGGACCCCGCCATTGTCCAGGTATGTCTTCACCACACACACCGTGGTTCTTGTCTTTTATTTGTAGTTAAATGTCTTGTGTCTCTCTCAGTCGTCCATGGGCTCCAGCTCCTCGTCCTCGGCTGCCGCCGCCCCAACCCCGTTCCAGGCAGCTGGTTCCTATGGACTCTTCAACCGGGCCCCAGTTCCTGCCTACAACCAGTTCAGCACCAGCCCCCTTGTCTCCCCTCAGTTTGGACCTGTTGGCGTCGGTAGGAACAGGACCTTTGATCGTGTGTGTGTTTGAGACGTGTTTGGAGATTTTATTATTTTAACTGTGGGGTGAGCATGACATCCAAAGGTTGAGGGTCTGTCCGTGACTCTCGTACCACGTTAATCATGCCACAGAAAGTGGGGGGGGGTTGATTCATGGCTTTCATAAGGCCGTCACTCTCCTCTACAGCTGCGCCACACAAGTCTATCACAACGTCATTTTTAAATGTTGTATTCGTGATGCCGTGTTTTCCATCTTCACATGAGACATGTTCAAGGCACATTTTAATGTCAGGTGAGAACAGACGAACGGAACACTTGTGATCAGATCCCAGGATAGACGTTAACACCAGGTGTGAACATAGCCTCAGCATTTGTTGAGTCGCCATTTGACAGATGAGATGATGATCGGTTCACTCCTGCATGTCTCTCTCACACACAACCAGAGAGCCTCAGATCAGATGGTCTGATTTACAGGAACAGCGCGTGTCATTTCCTGCTGTTCCCCTCACACAGGACGGTCAGCATCGTTGTTTGACTTGAGCGCAGCCTCGACCAGATTCAGTGTGACTCACACTCTCTGGGTTCTCTGGTAACTGAAGGTAAAAAATCTGCAGGAGTAACAGGGAATCACAGATCCATGTGTGCTGTTGTCTTCTGACTCATCAGTCACATGAGGGTAAACTTCCACAGTTTGTAATAAACTAAAAGAATCTGATTTACTCGGAGCATGTTTTTTTCTATTTGACAGAAATGAATCTTTATTGAAAAGTCTCCTCATGGCCAGAGGCAGAACCTGCATGTTTAGTCCGAAGCTTGAGCTGAAAGATTTAAACCTGTTTTCAGAAAAATGTCTGTGACCCACAGGCTGCGTTCACATCCGAGCTTAGTTCATCAAGTACTGTAACGTTTTCCACCGAGAGTTGTGCAAAACAAGACCCATTAAAAACGCCATTGTGGCATCTCGTGATCACTCGTGTTTCCATCCACATGTTGTGATCAAAGACTGTAAACAAAGATGGATGACATGTCTCCACTTTACAAACAAAGCTAAAATATCTCAGATACCAACTCTGTGCAGAAATGATTGTGGAGCCGTGGTACAGAGGTCCCGCCCATCCACACTCCAGACCAATCGCAAGTCAGTGTCTGCTGTCAATGAACATTTTTAATTTTCTGCATCATTTTCTGTTGTGTTGACATTTAAGTTTCGAGGAAATCTTGACAGAGCATCTTGATTTAAGTTTGTGTGCACTAAAGTTTGATTGACAGCTTTGTCTCCAAACCAACCGCCCAATCACTTAAAGAAGAGATACTTTCATTGATCCATCCCCCTTTTTACACATGCAGTTTTTAACCCACAATCCCACACACAGACACACACACACACACACAGAGAGGGTAGAGTGATGGGCAGCCCCGGGAAGCGCCCTGCGAGCAATTGGGGGTTTGGTGCCTTGCTCAAGGGCACCTCCATACTTGTTAGTCCATGCTGGGTTATGGACTGAGCTACTGCTGCCCTTAACTTCAGCTCATTGTAGTTTAATGAGATGTGAACTAACTCACATCTGTTGTCCAGGCCCAGTCCACAGCCCCACCCTGGACCCCCTGAGGAAGAGCCCCACCTTAGAGCAGGTGATCCAGGCTGCTCCGTTAGCCCCGACCGCCGCCGCTCCGGCGCCTGGCCTGGGACGCAGGAGCCCCACCCACATTCGCTCGGCTCCCCTCACCACGGGGCAGAGCAGTCAGAAGGTCCAGCACCAGGATGGCGTCGACCCAAGAAGGGGTGAGACTGTCAGGGGAGGCCGCAGCAGCCAGGGCTGGTCCACGCCCCGAACCATCTCCGCCTCTCACATCACTGCTGTAGATAGGGCTCCCCCTGCAGGCCTTACCCACTCTGTCTTCAGCCACTCAGGTGAGACATATCAGAGTTCATACATTCTCATAGAAATAAAAAGTGAATTTGAACAAACACAATAAAGTTATTATTTACACTATAATCCACATACAATGAAACCAGTGACGATCAGAGGGTCAGTGATAAGTCAGCTGATCAGTGAACACACTGAGATTTATTATTCAGACAAAACACAACTAAGAATAAAATACATAAAAGAGCACAAACATATTTATATTAATGTCTGTTTTCAGTTGAACTGTTTTCAGTTAGTCATTTTTTATTGCTAGCCTCATTTTGAATTTCTGTGCTAATGAACGAGGCTCAGGTGAAACTCTAAGGTTTGATATTGTGAACAGAAGATCTGTTTTTATTAAATATTTATATATTTATGTTCCTGAGGTCAAACGTTTAAAACGTGTTTGTCTGAAGAGCCTTTACTCATGTTGTCAGACGCCAGGTGACTTACAGCCTGGCGCTGCCGCTCGCCCGCCTGTCGTCTTTTTCTGCTGAACGTGTCCTGATTGACAAGTTGAGTCTTTAGGCTCAGTGAATAACAGACAGCGCCTCCTGCTGGTGCATTTCCTCCACGTTTGATGTGGTTTTGTATAAAGCTGCAATCCAGCTCCACTACGTTTGGCATCGTTTTACTTCCCCATGTGTCGTCATGTGACCGTTTTGTTCTCCTCTTCAAACCTCTTTCTTTTGACGGATTTTGTCTTTATTGCAGCACCTGCCGGGGCACCGGCAAACCGCCGTGGGCGAGGAGGCGGCCACCGCGGCAGAGGACGCTTCAACGTTCGCCGGGACGGACCCATGAAGTTTGAGAAAGACTTTGACTTTGAGAGCGCTAACGCCCAGTTCAACAAAGAGGAGATTGACCGAGAGTTTCAGAGCAAACTGAAGCTGAAAGGTGTGTGTGTGTGTGTGT